CCTTGGGAATTTAACCAGTGACCTGCATGTTCGCAGACAGTTCGTAGGGCCGTCCTCGGTCCAGAGGTAGCAGGGGTCCGATCTGAAGATCTGTCGAGTAGGAGTCTTTTCAAAAGGTCTAGACACCGTAGCTGTAGTCTTTTCAAAAGGTCATGGTCGTAGCTTGCTACAGTCCAGAAGAAACAACTGCAGTTGTTACAAGTCTACGGCCTTTCGGAATTGCCTATGTCTAAGCAGAGGCAGAGGTCAAGTGGTGGGGTAAGTGGAAAGGCAGTAGCATTCTACCCTGCTGAGTCATCAGTCTCAGTCCCCAATCATCCCAGCGAGTACCGCATGGGACTGTATGCACTCCGTGCCAGGGAAACGGGCCAGACCAACAACCTGCAGAAGTATGAATCAGGAGGCAGCGCCCAACCACTCATTCATTCATGCGGACGCCAGGAGGGGCGTTGTCTCAGCATTTTGTGCGAGGAGGTCTGCATTGAGCCCCGGGGACGCAGCGGAGACGAATTACAGCCATAGCTATAGGGTAGGGGCAGCCATAGCTGCCATGGTCTGTAGTAGTGTGAAGTGTGCGCGTGTGCCGTGTGAGTGCACAACACAACGCGTGGAATGTCCGGGGTAGCCCAATAGGCGCTGAGTTGTCATAGCCAGTTGCAAGTGACCCCGTATCCGGGTCTCCATACCTCTGAGTTTTGAGCAGCCACATGTCGCCTGTTTGCTATGCTGCTGTCTACACATGCATGAAAAAAATGCGAAAAGCGAGTCTGATTTGCCTGATAAAATAATAATAATAATAATAATAGTAATAACCACCATAAATAATAATAATAAAAAAAAATAATAATAATAATTATAATGCTAAACATGAATATTGAAACGGTATTCACCAGTTTGCAGTAGCTGATGCAGATCCCAGGACTCGATTCCCTAGCCCTTACCTTACCTGTGTACATTACTTGTGTCGAACCCGAGAGTTGAACCTGTGACATGTGTCGTAGTAGTCCTTAGATGTCTGTCGTAGGTCGTAGTTRCAGAAGTCTAGAAGGGTCCAGCCCAGGTTTTGACAGAGGCAAGTAGGCAAGTGGTGARCCAAGTAGTGGACTAAACTGCAGTGCAATGRCACAKGTTAGYAGTGAGTCCACAGTCAGTCAACGGTAAGGTTCAGTCAGTCCCCGTCYGGTCCAGCAAGTACCACGGGGACTGTGAGCACCACGGTATGGGAAAGATGCAGACCAATKAGTTACAGAAGYATAAATCAAGAGGCAGYGCCCAACCATTCATTCATTCCTACGGARGCCCCGGAAGCGCTGCCACARCGACCTGCGCAAGGGGTCTGCAGCGAGCCCAGTTGTTGAAGTGGCTGGGAGGAGTTCAGCCACAGTGACAGTATAGCAGCGGCCATAGCCGCCATAGTTGTAGACAGAGTGTTGTGTGCATGTGTGTTSTTTCACTKTCATCGTGAGTGTCCCAGTATCTGTRTATTCGCCGTGWATGTGTATGTGYGTTACTGTTTTTGCTCGCTGTGCGTGTATCTGTGCACYGTATATGTGACCGTGCACTGTGTATGTGATTGTCACAWCGTCCGTGYGTGCAKTGCGTCTGTGTRTATTTGTCACCGTGTGACCGTGTGTTTCCACTGTGTGTCGCTGTCACCGTCCGTTTCCCCTGTGACTGTGACTGTGTGCATCATAGTATCAGTGTTTGTTCCACCGTGACTGTGTGTGTCACATTGTCTGGGTCTGTTCCACTGTGTCACCGTGCGTTTGTCACTGATCTTTATGTATGTGTGTGACTGCGACTGTCTGTGGCATAGTGTGTTTTCTCTCTGTCTGTACATTCGTGTGACTGTGTCTTTTCACTTATGTCTCCCTGTCCGGCTGTTTTCCCGGTATGTCTGTTCGCCTGACTGTCTCTTTCCGTCAGTGTCTGTTTGTGTTTGTCTATCTAGTAATCTATCTGCCCCCATCTCTCTTTCTGTGTGTGTGTAGTAGGTAGCGTGCGGGATATCCAGCGTTATCCCGTGTGTGCAAACAGAGCGTTGTGGGGGCGCTGAGTCGCCATAGTCATCGATAGTGAACTCGTATCTGGGACTGTTTCTGAGTTTTGAGTGGGTGCACGTTGCCAGTTTGCTGCACCACTGTTCATGAAAGACGTGAATGAAAGTGAGTCTAAATGTTCAATAATAATAATAATAATAATAATAATAATAATAAATCAATAATAATGATAATAACAAATAATAATAATAATAATAATAATAGTAATAGCAAGACGCAAGGAATATGAATGTGGACGAAGCACAAAAATCCAGAATGCAAGAAAATCACACTGAAGTCCAAGTAGTCAAAGTCCTAAGCAGATAGCACAATGGAACTGAGTAACCGTCCAATTGAGAATGATACAGAAGAATCGTGAGTCAATGTCCATGCCCAACAGGGCAACACCAACAGCGTAACTCAAATGTAGCTCTCTCTTGTGAATGGCGCCAGGCGCCCTATCTACTCTACAACCTAGCCTACAACTACAGTAATGAAAGCAACCAGACCACTTAACTACCAGCGAGTGATGATGTCAACACCAATGCCGACCTCCTCTCCATCAGGTACGTCTCTCCCCTCAATCACAACCTCGTTCCCCAACTCACAGATGCCACGTCACCCACGTGTACCCTTCTCTCTCTCTCTCTCTCTCTCTCTCTCTCTTTGTAGGTGGGTGTGCGGGGTGCGCGTGCAACGCAGCGTGATCAGTCTCGATTCGCAGCATATCAAGTATGGTGTGGGGAGCTCGACAGGCCTATGCATGCATCGCAACAAGTCGTGCAGATGACGACCCAGGCCTCACGCCGCGAGCATCCGTTGCAAGACCAGGTATGTTTCCCGTGTCACTCACAACCTCGTTTCCCCATACACAGATGCCACATACACCCATACAGACGCACACACATACACACACACAAAACACACACACGCAGTTTCATACTGTAAAGGTGCAGACCGGAGCAAGAACCGACCTCTAAGTGCAGGATAGCATAGCGGGAGACTTAGATATCAACGAATCAGATCCGAACAATGACTATAGCAGTGCAGCCCCAACAATCATCATCGTTCCATGGTGTGAAGGGGTCTGGCGCTCACACAGGACGATGCGCCAGCCCCTCGCCATACACAGACGAAGAGGAGGGGATCAGACGAAGGAGAGAGGAAGATGGGAATGTCGTCAATACCAAGTCTTCACATAGGTCCCTATAATCCCTCGTCAAATGTCTGAAACCAATGTCGAGCCTGAATCCAATGTCGTCAAGTTCCAAAGTCACCAATCTCTCTCTTTCTCGTAGTCTGCAGGTACTGCGAAGTCAGATGAGGTGAGGGTGAGGGAGAGAAGGTGGACTTGGAAAGAAGAAGAACTCTCCCCCCTTGATCACGGATGATGCAGACGTCTCGTCCAGGTAAGTTGCCTTTTCTCCCTCTCATCTTCTGTTTTGTTTCTCCCTTCTCCCCTTTGATCTTCCTCCTCTTCTCCTACCTTTCCTCTCGCTTTCTCCTTCTCCTCTCACACACATACACACACATACACACACATACACACACCCACCCACACACCCACACACCCACACACCCACACACATGCACATATGGTGCACTTGCCACGTATGCAGTGCGCATGTTTGGCGTGGGGAAGTAATCCGTGCATGATCACGTACGCTGGGAAGGCACTAGATTCTCTCTCTCTCTCTGCATCCACAACACAGGCATTCGCACGCACGCAACACGCACACACTCACATAAACACACACACACGCATTCCATCGATAGGATGAGCAAAAAAAAAAAACGGAATGAATCTTCCGCTGAAACGAGAAAATATATGCTGCCACCTTTTGATTTGCTCATTCTATCGACTCAAGTAGCATACGGCGAGGCGCGGTTTGGAGACTTAGCTGTCGGCCAAGGTCGGAGACCTTTCSTCTCTCTCTCTCTCTCACTCTCTCTCCAACACCTTRCTTTTCTCTCTTTTCTTTCTCCATTTCATCTCCCTTCTCCTTCTCTTATCTTTCTTCCTCCCTTCAACTTCAATCCCCTTTTCTCTCTTTTCTCCCCTTTTGCTCTTTATCTCCCTCTCACCTTCTGTTATGCTTTTCTCCCCCTTTTCCTTCGATCTTTCTCTCCCTCCTACACACCCTGTTGCACGCTGCAGGGTATTGATAAGAACAAGACCCATCCCTCTCTGCATCGTACGAGGTAACGCAGCGAGATACTTAGTTACTGATGATTCGAACACTCACTATCGTAATGCAGTCCTGATACGTATCGTCGTTGCTTTCGGGTGCGAAGGGGTCTGTCCCTTCGTACGGGGTAAGCGCTAGTCCCCATTATATACAGACGAAGAGGAATGGTATCARATGCAGGAGTGGATCAGACGAAAGGAAGGATCAAACAGAAGGAAGGAGATCAGATGGAAAAAGAAAGAGGGGGGTGGAATGTCGTCAACACTAAGTCATCGTCACAAGTTGCCTTTCTTCTCTCTCTCATACACACACACACACACACATTCCATCGACAGGATGAGCAAAAAAAACGAAATGAATCTTCCGCTGAAACGTGCAAATATACATTGGAACTTTTTGATTTGCTCATTCTATCGATCCAAGTATCGCGCGGTGAGTCACGAGTCCGAGACTCGCCCCCGGAATGTTGCCGTTGCCGATCGCAAGGAAGGCAACCTTTCTTYCCTCTTCCCTTCTCCTTCTCGTGATCTTTCTCCTTCATTGCGCTTTCGTCTTCCTCCCTCGCAGCTCCTCCACCTTCATCCTCCTCTACTTCCTGCTCCTTGCTGCGCTTTTCTTCCCGTGGCACTTCTTACTAACCCGCGCTACCTCCGCGTGGTTCTCCTTCGCCCATTCACTCACCCACACACACACACACCCATACTTAGTCGTTACTGTAAAGGTGCAGATTAGAACAAGAACCGATATCCTCTCTCGAAGTGCAGGGTGGCATAGCGGGTGTACCAATTTATCCGAACAACCGATATCGTAATGCAACCCCAACTCACATCATCATTATCGCGTCGTCATCTCTCCCCCTCTCTCTCTCTCCTCTCTCCCATTTCTCCTTCTCCATCTTCTTTTATTGTTTGTCTGTTGCATGCCAGGGGCGATGTACATATTACCCAAAGACTCGTGATGTGATGAAGAGGGTTAAATTGGCTGTGCGGTGCGAATATAATCTTCGTCAAGCAATGTGCATGCACATACGTGATGCACGTAGTAGTCGAGGATCTGTAGTGTGGCGAAAAGGACTGAATGGACCAACGGTGCGAATAGCATTTAGCCACGCAACTTGCATTCTCATAGATACATTAGCGCAGGGAAGACTTATGTCTGGCTGGATAGAAGTCTCAGCCTGATCTTCAGCCACCTTTGGTGAGTCCAACTGGGACTCCCTTTGCCTTTTACCTTGTCCTGGCAGAGGCATAGCCACACTCTCACTTACTTCCCTATCGGGTGCAGGAGACTCTTCTCTCTTCCCCTCAGTTTGTACCCCCTTTTCTTCACCCCATTTTCTTCCCACCATTTTTGTGGCTTTCTTCTCTTTCCCCTGTTCGCTCAATCTGAGTCCCTCTATTCCTTTCAATATCTCTCCCCATCTTTTCTCCCACTCTCGTCCCAACTTCTTCCTTTCTGAGATTTCATTGTCCAAGTCTTGCCCTAGCACACTGACCTCAGAAACCAGACCACCCACCCTTATTTCAATCTTTCCTCTTGTGGCCACTTCCTCTTCCAGTTCTCTGCTCCACACATTCAGGGTGACCCTCAATTGGCTCATTTCTTTTTGCAATTCCTCCTTCTCTTTTTTCAATTCCCTCACTTCCTTCCTCATTTCTTCCATATCCCTCATCAACTTCTCCACCTGACCATCCTTCTCATCTTCCTTCTTTCCTATCTCACTTGTCTCTTCCTTGTCCCCAATCGGCCTCTTTTCCTTAGTTCTCTTGAATTTAGGAGCCTTGCCTCCTCCCTGAACCTTCTTTCCCTCTTCAACTTCTTCTACTCCTTCCCCCTCTTCACTCACTCTTTCTTGTACCTCTTTCCTTCCACTCTCAATCGCCCTTTTCTTTCCAAGTTTCTTCTTCCTTGGTACCATACTGGTCCCCATGCTTCTTCTTCTGTCCTCTGCTGCCTCCTCCTCTTCCTGTTCATCTCCCTCAGCCCGCTCAGATTCCTTGCTGCTGCTCTTGGGGGAGACCCTCGCCTTGTTCTTCAACTTCTTCAGAGGTACATTATCCTCTTCTTCATTCTCTTCCTCATTCCCCTGTGGCTCAGTCACTTCTCTTCCAATCCATAGCCCCTTCTTTTGCAGTCTTTCCTTCTTTCTCTGATCTTGCCTGGCTTAGGTGTAGGCCATCCACAATTCTGTCGTTGTCCTTTTTTCGGTCCGACTCTCTTCCACAATTCCTCTTACTTCTTCCTTTTCGCCTTTGTCTGATCTTGTGATCAACTGCTTTCGCCTTTCCTCCTCGCTCCATTCGCCCCTCTCAGCGACTAGCTGCAAGCTTTCAACAAAGTCCTCCAGATTGGTCTCATCGAACCTCAAGTCATCCTCCACATCATCCCTTGGGAATTCCCCCATGTCTTTCCATAGTCTCACCTTGCATACTCTTCATCTTGTGCAACCTGCCACCACTCCTTCAATCCTCCTCTTGTACATTCTTGCTCCTCTCACATTCACAATTTTTTCCCTGTCACCCCATTCTCTCCTGAAAGCGTACTCTTCAAGGTCTCGCAGGAAAACTCGCAGACTGTCTCGAGCCCTGTAAATGGGCAACTCCTCCAGGTTCTTTGAGATTCTCTGTTCCCTCCTCTGCCCCCCATTTCTCAAGGTAGGTCCAGAGAGCCCTGCCTCTGCTCATCTCTGCGCCATGGCCTCTTCTTTTCCAAGGGTCACGCCTGCACACAGAGAAGGAGCAAATGACAGGTACGAGGGTCAGATTATCACCAAGGCAACATCCCTTGTTAAACACAAGTTGACAATGCCCTCCCTTATCAAGTACTTACATACACGCACATATACACATATATATATATATTTCATATATATATATATATGCATATATACATACATGAGCGTATATACCCACACATATTCCTCATTTATACCCTTCTGCATCCATTTATGTACACATACACACACACATATATATATATATATATCGTGATATATATATATATATGCATGCATGTATCCATATATGTATGATCATATTCTTGGCTAGTTTGGTACATACTTGCATAGAAACTGATACACATATGCATGCCTAAATACTTTCCAAATCTATCCAAGCTTTCGTATCGTAACTGAGCTTACCTCTTCTCTGATTCGGAACTTCTTCAGTCTAGATCCTGAGACCCAGTCTTTCCTTGGAGTCTCATCCATCTCTTCTAGCTCATATGCCCCATGAAGTCCCTACTTCCTGACTCTGAATGGTCCCAGCCAGCGTTGTCACGCGGGGATCCCCGGGGCCCAAGCCGGGGTAGGGGTTTCAACCCCGGACCCCCGCCGCGGGGCTACCCGACCCCCGCCCCCGCAAAA